CCGGAACTGGGAGCGATTTTAGTACCGGACTGTCTTTTTCGAGAACCAAATTAGCTCCTACTCCGGAGCAGGGTCTAACCAGCACAACTGGTACTAATCGTGATGTAAGTAGACATTGATTGGCCAAACGCGTATGAAAACGCCCTCACCCGCCATGATTTAAAACGCTGTGTAAACATACTGTAAACATTGTGTCAACTTATTTCGCAAGTATGAAGAACAGCGATAGATGGACGGACACTGAAGTGCAGGCACATGTAGCAAATGTAGCACTGCCAGTTGTCGTTGGAGATTCTTATTCCTCCTTTCCGTTCTTTCAATCGCTTTACGTATACGTCGACTTTCCATGTCCATTATTGTGAAACCCGCGAGACACAACAAAAACACAGCTCCGATCACAGCATCCTCCATCCTCTTGTTGTTAATGTTGTTTTTCTTTGTTTTTGTTTTTGAAAGCCGCACACAAATGACGTCGCTGTCGACCGGTTCCTAGTACACACTCTCGGTGCGAATGCAACCCTTTAAATGGTACTGGGAAAGAGTTTGCGCAAAATCGTCGCAGTTCTTTAGTACTGTACATTTAGTTCTGGAACTAAAGCGGTACGAAAGGCCCTATACACACCTTTAACTGTTGTCTTTAATCGGTTAAAGGTCATAAACATTTTAAAGTGCCCCTATTATGCCATTTCCAATATTGCCTTTCATGTAGCATGTAATGTAGCTGTATGTGAAAGTAAACGATCAGCAAACTTGTAAAGCCGAAAGTGCACGATAAATAAAGTTATTGTCTCCCAAAATAAAGAATCGACTTTCTACAGCCTAAACGAGTCGTTAGTAATTCGAATCCCACTTCCGTGACGGCTACACATCACGGTGTAGTACATTTGCATAATTCCCGCCTATGTTCTACGTTGGCTGGAAGCGAACAACTTGACCCCGCCCACAAACAACGTCATTTTATTGACGACTGCTTCTCTAATCTCGGGGAGTTCAAAAAAAAATCTCGGGGAGTTCAACGCGGGATTCACTAAACGCTTGCTCTTGATAGATGGCTCAGTACCCTGTTTATTTGGACCAGCTGGCTCCACTGCATCACAAGTATGATAAATAATAGATATTTATATTTTCTATCGAGCGTTCAAAATACGGAACTATGGCAATGGGCGTATCGTTTCCGACACACGCTGTACACGGTAGACCAATCACAACAGACTGGGCCATCTGACCAATCAGAGCAGAGTAGGCTCACGGAAAGGAGGGTTTTAGAGAGACTGAATCTTAGAACTGCTAATCGTTTGAGAATCGCTGGAAAAGTAGGTGATATTAAATGCATATTTTGAGAAAACAAAGGCGTTTTTTGACCTTGCATGCATGTAATCCTATTGTAGGAGACTCCCAAAACAATATTAGGAACCTTAAAAATGGCATAATATCGGCACTTTAAGAAAAAAAAAAATTGGCACACTTGTGTTTTGTAAACCCTTATAACAGATTTGTATTAAAAACAAAGTTTTAATAGTTATCGCGTTTTGTCGTGAATGTAACTGACTTCGCCCAATCCAGTCTTATGAGAATTTGCACACGGCAAAAAATTATCTCCGCACACTGCAATTTTGTCTTGTTTTCCAGTACAAATATCTAATAGGATGTTCAGCAATCTAAATTATTCGGCCGAAAATAGCAATTTTCCCAAATTGATTCCCAAATTCGTAATGAGAATCATTTATAAATCTGCATGCTGTTGTCAACAAAAAGAAGCACTGAGATCTTCCTGTGGGCGTCTGCAAAAATAAAAGCCGAGAAAAAGCAACAACTACATCAACATTCATAAATGTTAGTGTTGTATTTTACTGTTGTTCTGTAAAATAAAATAAAAAAGTAAGACAATAATAATGATAATAATTACCCTACAACAGCTCTATTAATACATTTATTATAACATTCACACATAGTGTTCAAATTGGGATCTGTAATATATTCTAATGTTTTAAAAAGAAGTCTCTTCTGCTCAGCAAGGCTGCCTTTATTTGTACAGTAAAAAATACATGCCTGATTCCAATCTCAAAAATGGCCAAAAAAGATTATTTTACTAACTTATTAATTTTAAGTTAAATTGTGCTTTGTTGGTATAATGTCTGCTGGAATGTTAAAAAGTGTTAAGTAAATATTTTTAAATTGTTGTTTTGTAATTGAATTTTTTATTTGAAAAGCAGGACAAAACAGTAAAATATATATATATATTATTTATATTTAATTTATGAAATGGTGAAAATTGGCAAAATAGGTCTACATGGGGGGAAAAATGTGAAAAACCATGTTCGGTATTCGGCCTTCTGCCCAGTGTTTCATTTTGTTCAGCTTCGGCTTCGAACAAGAATTTTCATTTCGGTGCATCCCTAATACCTAAACATTCTTAAATCAACATACATTTACTCGAGAAGCAAAATGACTTGAAGGGATAGTTCAACTAAAAAAATGGAAAATGGAAAGTGGAACTCCACACTGCATCATGATGTTGACACTACTGGTTGTCACTGCGTGAGACAGACAAGTTACTTGTTAATGGAAACTTGTTGCGTTGCATGTAGTAGAGTGACTGTTTAAATGATACTGTAGAACAATCTCTTGTACCTAATTGCTTAATCATTTTGTTTAACTTTTTTAATATTAAATTTAAATTTGAAATGCAAAATGTGTAAATAATTCTCATGTGAATTTTTGACCAAATCACGAAGCGCTGGCATTTATCTGTAGATATATGAGAGAAGGTTTATGTGAAGCCGTGACAGCAACACAAAGGCCCCTCACCTGATAAAAGCAGTCGGGCACTGTTGCTCTGTCTGGTCTCCCCTGTGTATCGATGCCGCGTGGTACAGCGATAAATATTCACCGCATCCTCTGACTGCACATCCTGAATATACAAGGCCCCCATGGATGTAATAAGATATCTTGGTCCTGAAAAAAAAGAACAAAATATTGTGGTTAGAATCGCTAACCCCAATTAAAGCCATATAACATGCTGTACTATGTCATGTGACTTCATATTCCATCAAAACCAAATGTATGTAAAACATTTATTGCTTTTATAAGATAAGAGAATCCACACGTGATGTCTCTTTGAAGCCAGCGCTGACAGACCTGAGGGAGCGGAGTATTGAACTACTGGACGTGACTGTTTTGCAACTGAGCCAATCGCTCAGTCATTCGCCCAGAGCTTGAAACAGAAACAGCTTTCAACAACTGCAGCCATTCTTACAGTTCACACATACACAGCCAGAGAAACGTTACAATTATGATTGTTAGTTCTTGAAATCTTTTTCATTTATTTTCAGGATTATATTGCGTACACTAAAATGACTGCATAAATGGACACAAATGACTGTGATGTTGATGCCTATGAGATGAGAAATGGATCTTGTGGTGCACAGGGGTTGAAAAGAGAGAGGGAGACACAAAAAAGGAGAAATAGAGTCTGCAGCTATAGCAAGCATTGACCTAGTTAGAAAGGAGAGTCCAGGATTTGATACCCTAGAGGGGGTTATAGCTCCTAGTTTACATGCAGTCGCCTGAGACCTGCTACCAGCAGTGCAAATGGAAAACTGGGTAAACGCATCTGTGCACTGCTGTTTTGAAAAGGTTAAAATTAGAAAGGGGGAAAAGGAATTCAAGCACGATTCTTAGATTAGCTAAGCTGTGTTGTGGAATTTGAGGATCACATCATTTCACAGCTTTTTTGTAAATGGGCCATTTTTCAGGAAGCGATGATTATGATATGTAGCTATGTTTCCATCCAAAGATTCGAATTAAACGTATATGCAAAACTGGAATATCGCATAAAACATATGTCGAATAAAGCATCCAATGAGTCAAAGAGAACAAAATCGTCACTTCCTGGTAAACTGTGGCACTAAATATAACCAAGGATATTGGAGGAGCCACTTAATATAATCATTTTCTTATATGATACAAATTACTTGCACCTCAGAGTGAGCAGACGTGACACAATAAATGCTGTCAATGCTTTCCGAGGTGGATGCCTGCTGTTTGGGAACGCAGTCGTGTAAGACAATTATACAGAAATACTTTAACGACAGACTTTGCTCAGGCATTTCAGAATGACCATAACAACATATAGATGCTGTGAACGAGATCGGTCCGCTGCTAGTCAAATTATCCCGTCTCATAGTGCAAAGTCACATGACTTTTTCGAAGCACATGGAGGAATTTATTCGGTAAATGTGTTTCCATCATAGTTAATGCGCATTTTTTCTTATCGGATAAAAACTTTATCCTACTCAAATGTGCGCATACGTTTTTTTATGCGCATTTTTAGAATTTATGGGCATGTTGGCGTTTCCATCAAGTGGTTTTTTATGCGATATTCCAAAATGTGCATAAAAATAGGTGGATGGAAACGTAGCTTGTGAGAGCTTACACACTTTCAAATTCAAGAGAAACATTTTGATCTGCCATAGAATAGAATACAGGTGCATCTCAATAAATTAGAATGTCATGGAAAAGTTCATTTATTTCAGTAATTCAACTCAAATTGTGAAACTCGTTACCTGTAGAATAGAATAGAATCCAGGTCTGGTAGAATTTCCAAAACCACACATTTACACAAGCACACATTTTTTGACACCACCACACACTGTTTGGATGTATTAAATATCAAGCCATGTGTACAAATACACACAATATCTTTGAAAACCCTCTCTTTTAAAAAGAAACTAAAACTGGCAAAAGAGAGAGAAACAATACCATGGTATTACTGTAGAAAAAAAAACACGTCACACCTGACTATAAGTTGCACCAGGTTACAAAGCATGGATAAGTCACACCAGCATATAAGTAATATTTCTTTATTACATTCAGAAATAATGAAAAAAAAAGGAAATATAAATTCCGGGCCTAATTACATATTTTAAAGCATAACTGAAGCTACTGGCATGTGGAAAATGCACTGCAAATAAACTTTGGCCCATGTTCCTCTTTCATGTTTTACGTGCTTGACATTAATTGCATATTACAGTATAAATCACAACATGTTTCAGATGATAAAAAGATGACATAGTCAAAAAAAAAAAAAAAGTATTAGGGTTATTTTGAAAAAAAAAAGTATTAGGGTTATTTTGCCAATATAGCCACTGTACTGGTATGTGTGTAAGATGCTTTATTTAATGTCATCTTCATTTATTTTGTCTTTTCATTTCAGAAATGTAATGCATTTTGTGGATAATTATTAGCCATTTACTTAAAGTAAATGTATGAAATTAAGGTTCATGTCATGACTAGGCCTATATGGAATCTGCATCCACATTATTCAGTTATTTAATTTAATTTATTTATTTTGTATGTTACAATATGTTTAATTAATACCAACTTTAAGGATTACACATCATAATCAGCAGAGAAAATGTGTTTTCAAAGGCCTATAAAATGAAGAATTTATAAGGAGGCACACAATTTGCCAAACAAAATAACCTAAACATAAATTCAGGATCATCTCAATTGACCAACTAACAACATATTTAACTCCAATGTCGTCTGCTGACGCTCCACGTGGGTGACAGAAGGCTGGACAACATGTTCCCAGCTAATCAATGTTAAATCCAGGATGCAGACTGCCTGTTCCTCAGGGGATGAGAGCACTAATCAGTGATGATTAAGGTCAGAGTTCCTGGTTAACCTGGACTTGGATTTCTCAACCTGCTCACCACACCCTCCTGCCACACGGCCGACGCAAGACCATACTGAGACATGGAGTTTGAATACAAGTTCCAGGACATCATTTAAGGACTAAATGGGTAAATCTCACAAAACTTATCAAGAACATGTCCATCTTTCATTTTGCAAAATCAACAGCAAGAAATAAATTATATTTAGCATCAAGAAAATGTTTAAATTAACACTGTTTATGCAGTTAAACACATATTTATCATCCGATTTATATCATCCATCCTTTGTCTTTCATTCTTTTTTCTCTTTACTCTTTTTCCAGCACCCTTCTCCAATTGTTAGCATGAATAATTCATTTGCAGTGCAGTCCCAGTAGTGCACCAAGACACAACACATTAACCTTTTCCACTTCACAACCATCTCCAAAATTTGTCGAAAATGACATTGAAAAATATCCAAGATATTTTGGGTGTATAAATGAACTAAAAGCTCACGAAGTTGAAAAGACTGAAATTTGGTCCCTCAGTTTCTACCATGCGATGCATGTGTTTCATGACTCTGCTGTTTGGGTTGCGTTTATGGTCTTGTGTCATTCAAGCAAACAGACAGCCTCTCATATTTCCTCCATAAATTATTGAATTGTGTTGCAAACCATGCAAAAAAAATGACCGGCAGCCACAGAAATGATTCATCTATTTTTCAAAAGGATAAATACATTGTGCATGATGTGCCGTATGAAATAATCATGCATCTGGAGTGAGGCTGATACTGCATTCTCTGTGCATGATTTACTGTGGATGCTTGGTTAGTCAACATGGAAATAAACTTGCTTTCTTAATTCAGGTTGAATTTAAATTTAATGCAAAAGTGTCTCCTTGATATTTCTGCTGCAATATCAGAACCCCCCCGCACAAAATAGGACTATTAATTAAATACTCATAGCAGTGCGGATCTGGACCCGTGCAAGTCATTGCCAGAATAACTTGTGCTCCCACAATGCAACTGTTCCAACTCAGCAGGGTGCCTGAGTTGAGAAAGCAGTGAACGTCTCTTTCAAAGACAGATAATATGAATTCAGAGGCCTGTCGTCTCTGGACTAACAACAGGAGATTTCTGTTGCATGCTGGGAAAGTGGGGAGAAAGCGGGAGCATTGAAATTCATTTCAAATCCAGTGGATTACTACACACGTCTGTGGGCAAGTACTTCAAAAGCGCACACAGGATGAATTTCAGACAAATCGAAATGCCTAATGAGCCACTAAAAGCACTAAGTTCGAACGTACAGGCAATAATTGATTATAATTTATCCTAAAGAACGGAGATATCCCAAAATCCTGGTCATAAAACAGTACAAAGTTCAGACAGTGGCAGGTATTAACTTAGTTATAGCAATTCGATAAAAAAAAGCTGTATTCGGTAGCACAGCTCTCATGATAGTTTCATTGATATTATTAGCGGAAGTGTGCAAGCTGAAGAGGAGAGCAAGAGCAATCATGACCCAATTACAGAGCTTGCTCAACTAGGGCAATTAACACATTTATATCAAATGAGTTCAATTAGTGAACCAGGTCCTCTCGAATGCGTTAAGAGACAAGAGGATATTCTGCTGTGCCAAGCGTTGGCATTTAGCGCAAGATAGCAAATGCTAAAAGAAAACCTATCTGCTATACCCCACAAATAACCAGTGCTGACTCAAGATTCTTGCATTTATGCAACATTCATAAATTTTTTTAGACAATATCATGTTTCTTTAATTAAATTAACCGAGGCTAACCGAAGCTGAAATTTTTAAAAAAAAACGAGCATCACAAGTGTAATGTTTTTTCTGACATAAAAAAATCCTAGCTTTTAAAAATTATTTATTGCAGGACTATTTTGTTAGGCTATTTATGAGTTTGTAAAGATGTGGAAATGCTGTTTTTAAATTGTAAGTCATGATATAATTTAGTTGAAGAAATGATAAAAACTGCTAGGTTATGATGACTTTAATGTATGGGAAAGATCTGTAAACATCTTTTGTACTCCAGAAAATGCTCGGATTGGTCCATAAATGCTTGTGTTTTCAGCTGGCACAACATTTTTGAAGAGTTTGAGAATAGTGACATGTCAGTAGGTAGCATACATGAGGACTAATCAGACCTCCTGTAAGACTTGATATCAGATGCACAGGCCCCGGATTTTAATAGGGTCTGTTCTCAGCGATTACACTCATACAATTCGATCAGTGCCAGATAAGTATCAGCATCTGAGACCAATCTGTGGAGGGGAAATTAACA